AGTAGTATTTCGAGCGAAAACGAGCCGAACACGAATGAACAAATTTTTGTTTGTGTTTGGCTCGTTAACTTAGCAAACAAATCGAATACGAGCTTCTTAACGAGCAGAAAACGAACAACAAGCCGTTTTAACAACCCAACACACAACAAGCCTAATGCATTCCTCCACTTCAACAAACCAGCTTGAATTATACTAAAAACATTCACATCTATATTACCATCATTTTGAACAATAGACCCGAGATCTCTAAAATGTTCACACTTTTTTTTCTGATTTGATCACCCATAGTTACAACTCTGTCACTAGAGCTCTACTACAAAAATTACATTATATGTATTCAATTTTAGATCTACTCAATCGAAGGTCGTTAGATATAGACCTCCATAGTTCAAGTTTCTTCTGAACTCTTACTCTAGTCTTATCCACACGAAGGATAACATCAACAAAAAGCATACACCAAGGTACATCCTCCCTATAAGAGCATCCGTAACTAAAAAAATACATCAGCTTAAAGCCAGTCCATGACGTAACTTAATTGAAATAGGAACATATTTGTTCAATCCTCCTCTTGTTCGAACATAAATAACATCTCTAGTATACATATTTTTCCTAGTTCTCTAAATTTTTATATTTAAACCAATTTTTATAATTCAACTTCTTATATTTTATCTTTTTTTTTTTGCACATTATTATTCCACCACAAATTATTTTTATTTATAAAAACTTTTTCTTTTGATTATCCAAGTACATATTTTGTCACTTGTTTAATAGTGTTTGTTATTTTATCCCATATAAAATTTGCTTCTTTATGAACATCCCAAATCTTGAAATCTTGAATTTTTTTTCATAAAAATAATTTTACTTGTCTTTTAGATGCCACCATTTAATTTTATGATGATACTTTCTTGTATTCTTTATTTTATAATTGTTCATTTTAAAATTCAGAACTAATAATCAATATTGAGTATTTAAAGTTCACTTGAAATGACATCACTATCTTTACATTCTCGACAAATTCTTTTTCTCATAAAAAAATAATCAATCTATGTTTTATTATATTCATTCTTATATAGAATAATATGCTCATAAATTTTTTTTTTAATAAAGTATTAAAAGTAGCAAAATTATATGCTAAAATAAAATATAATAGGTTCTAGGTACCTTCTGCATTAATCACTCAAATGTCATCTTAATGATATCAGAATTGAACTATCTTTGACTCATTAGCTTTGTGTGTCAAGAAGCTAAATTTGACAATGAACAAGTTAGATATGAAATATGTCTGGCATTCCAATTATACACCAAAAGATTCCATAAGTGATTTATTGGCTTGATTTGGGCATCATTTAACTCTGATTGACCCAATTTTAGTTTCATTCTCATCGAGCCGGTCAATTTGACTATAAATTTACTTAAATCAGAGTTCTGAATGGCTTTTAAACAAAGTTTGAGCATTTCATACCAAAAAAAAACTACCTCAAGATGCGTGTCAAGTGATGAAATTTTTTGGGTCAATTTGACTATAAATTTACTTAAATCAGAGTTTTGAATGGCTTTTAAACAAAGTTTGAGCATTTCATATCAAAAAAAACTACCTCAAGATGCGTGTCAAGTGACGAAATTTTTTTTTTATGGCAAATCAATAACATTCAAATATTTGGAATCACATCCACAATATCATTATTTTAACTTTTAAAAAGAGATGAACTGAAATTTAGGTGTATGATATGGAAATACATGAAAAAAGAGTGGTATGTATGTAATTTTTTCTTATTAATATCATTAAGGTAGTAATATACATGATTTTTAAAAAAAAAAATTAAAAAAAAAACACTTAATAGTTCATAAAATGCACCAAAAATATTACACCGGGTGTCGCTAAGCGTAATAAAGGTACTTATTTGTTATTTCAAAAATGCATATATAATGTCAAGAAATAAAATAAGTGGTTTTTTATTTTATGCAACATATATATTAGATAAATTTAATTTTTTTAAACCGTCTAATGTATTTATTAATTATTTAATGAATAATTAAGTTATAAAAAAATTTACGGTACATCTAAAATAAATTCAATGAAAGAGGCATTAAATCAGGTTTAGGTTGAACATGAAATTGATCCAACTCAAACCTATTTGACCCAGATTCAACCTGAATATTAAATATACAATTCCCAAACCTATTTCGCATTAACTCCCGAAGAGAAGATGTATGGAATGAAACCCCTAAATTCAGTATACAGTCATCAACAGAACTGTAAACTGCTAGAAATAGTACATCATGTATTTCTTCAGTTACAACATTAGTATCATCATTCCTCCTCCTTAAGATTCCTGCAGTTCCTTTTTATGTGGTCAGCCTTGTCATAATTCTGGCAGGTTGTCTGCTGACCAGACTTTGATTTTGATCTTCCTCTGTTTGAGTTCCTGTCATGTGATCTCCCTCTGGAATCAACATTCAGCGTCGAACTTGAACACGAGGTCTCGCCAGTATCCTTCCTGGGCATCTCCTCAGTTAAAATCAAATCACGAATATCTCATATTTTAGCTTAGATTTACCTACAAAACTACTAATTGTCATCATCATGACTTCCTAGCTATTTGGCAATGAAGCCAACAATATCAGCGCACGTATCTCATCATCAAAATCAATTTCAACAGATAACTCATTTGTGATAGTGTTAAAATCATTTAGGTGTTGAGCAACAGACACCTTCCGCCATCTTCAAGTTGAATAACTTTTTCATTTTTCATCAGTTGTTATTCGGTTATTCGTGGATGATTTTTAATACATACCTGATAAAGCCGCCACGAGATCTGTAGTAGTTTTTTCCTTGATGACGTTGTAGGCAACCGATCTTGACAGGGTTAATCATATAAACCCCAGAATTTGTCGATCCAACAGATTTCATTCCGCCTCATCCATCTTTTTCTGATCGTTTTCCAGTAACGGAAGATGAAGTTTCTTCCCATAGAGGTAGTCCTCTATCTGCATCCTCCAGTAAGCAAAATTTGTGTCATTGAACTTCTCAATCCCCGATGTTATCACTTCGTCTCCACCCATCGTTCTTCCTTAGATTCAAACCCAAGTTTTGATACCAGTTGTTGTGAAAAACAATGATAATAAAGCAAAAAATGAAACGAGAAAAAATTGCATGCAGAAAAAATACCAGAGCGACATACAGATTTATGTGGTTCGGCAAATTTGCCTACATCTACAGAGCTGCAGAAGATTTTATTTCTTCGAGGAATTCTATTTTCTTCTCCCTTCCTCTCTCTCTCTCTCTCTCTCTTCCTCTCTTTCTCTCTTAGAGGACTTGGCTTGGCCCATGGCATGGCTCCTCCTTTAAGCCAAAAGAGACTATTTATAGAAACCATGAAATCGGTAGGTGAGAGGTGGGTGTGATTCTTAATTAGAAAACTAATTAAATTTCGGTGGACCGGGTCTCCACATTACCCAACAAAGAGAGTACGATGGAGACTCAAAAGCACATTACAGGATTACGACTTCGCTGGCTATGTTATACATATCAAAGATTTTAGCAATCGAGACACTAATAATGTCGAAGAATTTTTTCTCCGAATAAGGAGATCACCTAGTTTCCAACCAATGAGTTCGAGTTCAAGCACGTATCCAAGTTAATCAAGGTGAAAATAAAAATATTAAAATGAATGTGTGAAAAAATTAAAAAGATTAAGGAATGATTACATGAAAGAGATAGTGTCATATCAATTAATGAAAATAAGATACTAAAGATTAAATTTAAATGATTTGGACGTGTAACACAGGAAAAAAATGTGCCTCTAAAATGTACAAATAAAAGTAATATTAAAGGATAAAGAAGAAGAATAGACAAATAAATAATATGGATAAAGTTCCATAGAAAAATGATGATTCATAAAAGAGAGAATAAATAGTCAGGATAAAGCTAATGATGATGAATGATAAAATGTTGGAATTGGAGGTTTACTTGCAAACAATGTACTTTACAATACAAAGATTGTGAATTAAATTCAGTAGAATGAAGCAGCTCTCCTAAACATCGAGATGTAATTTTTGTATAGCAATTGAAATTTAATAAAAAAACTCATAAGCATGCTCAAATGAAACCACTGTAAAGATGAGTGACCTCTTGGGAAATTACATCAACGAGATAAAACTATGAAGCCATTAAGCCAAGGAGAATAATATCTTGATGATTGAGAGCTCGGGTTGCTATAAATGATATCAAAGAATTACATAAGCATGAATATGAGAATTAAGTATCATGTATGATAAAATGTTATATCATTAGAGCCATCCCTTGAACCCTAAATGGAACAACGAGCTCTACAATGGGAGACACATCTTGAATCCATAGAGGCCGCATCTAAAATCATCTATGACTGCGGATTATTCTATGCTTAAAATATTGATGAGGACTTTTAGATACTTAAATGGGGGTGATTGTGAAACCTTTCAAGTAAAATAAAAGAAACATTAAACATTAAGGTGCCTTTTATTGTAAAAATATGATCATACAAGAACACTTTTAAGTTGGTGACCTCATGAAAAATACCAATGTGAAATCGTGAAGCCATTAAATCAAAGCAGACAATATCTCAATTGGTGAAAGTTTAGACTTTTACGGAGCTATCACTCAGAATCAAACTCATCAAACTGGCAAAATATATTTGTAGTAAAAATGATTGATCTGTTACCTAAACAATCGAACTTAAGCACAAAGTTATCTATGAAGTCAAGCTTTAGAAATAGTAATTTCTTAAGAAAAAACATAGAAGAAATAATGGGAGGAGAAAACAATCTCCCGGCTGACAACAGAACACCTGATGAGTTGGCAGTCATCAGTTTTTAGCCCACGAGTTCCATTTTAACGTAGCAACCTTGATTTTAATAATCAGATCCATGTTTTTTCCAGCTAGAAGATTTTATAAAATGTTTTTTTTCCAGCTAAGAGGATTTTATAAAATGTATGCTATCACACATATAACCAAACCATAAGTCAAGTAATAGAAAAGTCTTTACTGTAATCGCTGGCAATAAAACACAAACATGATAGATAGGAGATTACATAACACGAAATTCTAATTAGGCATCATATAGCATCAAACCTCTGCCATTCAAGTCTGAAAAAGAGGGAGCTCAAGTTAGATATACTATATAATTACCTTCTGTTTTCACGCCCAGAAGGCCTGGATAAGACCATGAGGTGTTGAAGAGGTAAATTTTATGACAATCTTTGCCTCTTCTTGGCAAGATTTTCGAAGAGCCCTTGGACATCTGCAGATGTGATTGGTTTAGACGTGTCAAAAGATTCCTGCATGGTTAAAAACACTTACTATTAAACTAAGAATCCAGCAAATGCTCAAGTACAATTATCAGGTTCATGTGATATATTCTTGTAAATTAAGGGCTTCTTTGACATTGATTTTGTTTTTGTTTTTTTTCCCCCATTTATTTTTAAAGTAGATTTGTTTAGGGTGTTTTTATATGTTTTTTTTTTCTAAAAATAAATTAACATATTTTTTAAAACACCCAATGACTTTTAGATGTTATGAATGTTTTAAAAAATAATCATGCTTTAATCAAATAGCCAATCATATCTTATTTTAAATCAAAGCATAAACAAAACAAAATAAAAAAAATAGAAAATAAAAATCAAAAGTGAACCCAAACAAACCCTAAAACAATCACATCTGTCCTCAACTATATTAGTTCTAGGATGTGATGGAAAACAAGAAATATTGGGTTTGTAAAGAAAGTTGGATCTGTACAGATCAAAATTATGGTATCTTAGAGAAAAAATCATGCATAAAAATGAAACTGTATGATCGTTTAGTTCGAATCAACATGTGTGTTGAAACTGTATGATCGTTTAGTTCGAATCAACATGTGTACACATTTATTAGTGATGATTTGCATTCGGATCAACATAAGCCTGAACATATAGACATGCACATATGTGCACGCCCACACAGTTAATAGCAACTGTTTACAATGTACTCGTATATGCTTTAACTTTTTCAAATGAGTGATGCCATTTGATCTCTCTAGTTCATCAACCATTTTTATGGAGTTCATTAATAGGGACTTTTATCAGTATTTGTATCAGGCCATAATAATAATTAACAATAATATGTTGATATTTTAGGACAAGGTGACTACTATTGAAATATATATGAGGAAGAAAAATAATTAATTAGGGCGACTTAAATTGATAAATAATCTGTAAAATGAGTTGAGTAAAAATGATTCATGATATTATCGAATAAAGAAAAAGAAAGTAATGGAAGAATTTATACTTAATTTTGCAATAACTTAGAATCTTAACAAGTACAAATTTTAAGAAATGAAACAAATATTTAATTAATCTTAAAAATGGAGATACCTAATCACCAATATTTTTTTTGAGGAAATAGATCTTTTAGCAAACATTGTAATGCACTTCCATGATATAGTTTGATAACGCAATATAGAGTACTAATTATGAAAAATATCTTAGGAGATTATAAAAATTATAATAATAAATAATTTCCCTAACAAAAATTGGTGCAAATTGCATGATAATAAAGTGTTATTATTAAAAGATAGGCTACTAAGAGAGGCAAATTAAAATTATTTAGACGAAGTAATCACAATGTGGTATAAGATAGCGAATTCCATTAAGAAGATTGACAAAAAAATATTTAATGCGAGTCTAGAAATGAACCTTATATGGTGCAGTAAGAGGGTATAAAAAAGTTTCACAATTGTGCTTTTAAAGAGCCATAAAACACAAAATACTACCAAGTCTTACATAAAAAAAAAAGGCTAAAAAGTCTTACAAAGAGGAAAATGTGCAAAGTAAATGCTACAGTGTTTTCTGATTCCTATAATAAGCTTAATATTTAAGAAGCGGAAAAATTACTAAAAAAACTGAAACAAGAGAATAAAGATCTTACAAAATTGATCAAGTTAGATAACAAGCAAAGATAATGAGATCTTATTAACTACTGAATGAGAATCTTAAGAAAGAAAGTATTTTTAAAAATCAAAATAAGCAAAATTAGCAAAATTAATAAGACATTATAAATTGATCCTAAGAAATGGACTTAGCTTAACTAATATGCAGAAAATCAATGTTTAGAATCATAATAGAGATTTATAGAGATTTATAGCGGCGACTTACTTGAGCAACAAACCTAATAATGGTGAGAAGTATGGTAATCAATAGGATGAAATAAATAATAACTAAAATTAGTTTTAACGCTGCCAACATTGATTTTTATTTGATAGTTTAATCTTGATAACTTTAGGGCCTTATAAGCACTTCATTTTCAACAAATTATTAAAAAAAGGCTCAGTCATATTGATATTTAGAATGACAAAAAACTTAAGAAACATTATTTTTCAATTACATTTTAACATTTTATTGTGATGATTATCATATTATATTCTCGAAAAACCTTTCTCAAAGCAAAATAGCTATTTTTAGAGTGTGTACTCGAGCAAGCTCCTCGCACGTCAGACATTAGTCAAATTCCCCTTACAGGTGTTTAACATATATAAGAATATTAAGTGGGATTACATCAAAGATCAACATTTACTTATATATTGTTTATTTATCAATTATCAATCTAAAAATTAAATAATGCGTACATGTTATAGGTTTAAATATTTTTTTAGCTATTTAGAGATACACACACATAATGCATCATACATACATAAGAGGAAATAAATTCTAAAGCTAAGTCTACCTAGTAAAATTGGAGAAGTGCTTCAAAATTATTATATAATGCGAGGATGTCATGAAAAGATACAACTTTTAATAAGTTTTATAATACAAATAGTCCTTTTCCACATCATATTCATGCACTTTCAAACAATGGACATAGTAATATGTAATTTATAGTTTATTTGGGGCATTTGCAACTCTTTGAAGAAGCAAATACGAAGTTCTTGCAAAAAAAGTTGTTGATCAAGAAGCTGCGGTAGCTGTTACAATTTTTTTTTCTTTTTTTAAAAAGTAAGACCACGACATCCTAGTAGCCACTGCACATCAGAGCAAGTGATACTCCTCCTTTTCGTTACAAAGAAAGCGATGAGAAAGCTCGTTGTTTGTTTGCCCAATCGACTTCTCCGAGAATTGCTTCTAATGTAACAACATTTATGCCATTTTCAGATCGTGACATTGGAGCTTCGTTTGTTCCACCATTTCGGACCTACATTTTGTTGTTTCGAAAAATGAAAGGTCAAAAAAACCCTCAAATTTTCTTGCTGCGCCGCCTTCCATCTCCTATTGCCGCTATATTCCCATTCTGACTCCTGCCATCGCCATATTCCAGCAATGAGGAGGAGAGTAATATAAGATTAAATGGCTTGAAAGGATAAGATGATTGCATTGCCCGCTATATGTTTTTGTTCGCACCTTCAAACCAAAGGGTTGAAAGGCAAAGGATTTCCAACGAAGAAGAAGATGCATTAAAGGAGCCAAGGAGGGTAAAAAAAATGAAGTTGAGGAAAAAGATGATTATATATTGGGCAAAGAGTTCATCAGCGTCGCGGGAAAAAAAAATAATTATTTTTTAATTTGCACATGACATCACAATTTTTAATATTTTAAATATATATATGATATGAGTTTGTATTTCAGAGTTAAATTCTCTAAAGAGTAATTACCGTTAAATCTTGAAATAATATCTCAAATATGCCAGACCAATTAAATTGATTTAATCTTAACTGAACCAAATGTTGTGTTGGATTTAGCCGCAGCTATACTTAATATATTCATATTTATAGAATATAATCATATTAAAATTTTATTTTCTATAAATAATTTAATAGTTTTAGATATTATGCTTATAATTTAAAAGTATTAGGGTTATTATAGTATTTTATATTAAAAAAAACTACAAGTAATTGTGTTAAAAAGCACCTAACAATATTTATTCAAACACTAGTATAATTTTACAGATCGCAACTTTATACCACTGCATCTGAAGTTGTCTTTAAAGGAACTTTTATAAAAGCAGAAACCCTCCCAAAAAAGCCTTAACCAGGAGAGGTTGTAAAACATAACTTTGTCAAACCCATACGTGTGTTGTGGACTACTACACACATCTACCGCTGCCCCAAATGGACCTTAGTCCATCGCTTCCTCCCTTCTTCCCTCTGTCTCTTCAATTCCCCTCCAAAGCTTCAAATCTTAGTTCAATGGTGAGAGAAAGCTTCTTATATTTATAATCAAACAAACCAACTTGTCAATAACCTTCATCCACTACTTCTTTTTATCCACCATTTCCATGTTCAAGGTTCACCGCCATTAATGTTGCTAGCCACATAAGTCCACCTAAAGATCAATTAGCATAATTGAACACTGCATCATGGCATGTTAATTACAAGTATTTATGGGCTTAAGAGAGAAAGTGGAGGCAAGAAAACATAAATCATGGAAACTAGTTTTCTCCATCAACTCAACTTTCAAACCAACAAAATTCTTGAGAGATGGTGAGGTTTGAGGCTATGTGTTTCCCTATCCCTCAGACTCTTTCAGCACTCAACAATAGATGACAGTTATTATAGTTATCATAACTCTCCTCCATTTAAATAGGAGTTGGAGGGGGGCAATAGATTTTGAAAAAATGACATGAAATTCAAATATTGCACTTAATCTCATTATTAAATTTTTTGTTGGAGTTTGAGCCCTTTTTTGGCCTAAAAAGAGTCCTAAAATTATATTTATTTCATGACAGAAATCATTGAACTTACTCTAGGTGCTTCTCGTTCAATATAAGTTTTCAACTTTTCAAAAGACATTTTAAACTCATTTTAGTCTCAACTCAATCCTTTCTCACATCTAATGTCACAATTTGAATATAAAATACTATTTTATACATTAAATGCATCTTTAAATATGAAAAATTTTATTCCCTCGCAAAAAAATTTGGTCCTCCAAATTGCAACATTTATGTTTTAATAAGATATAGGGAATGGTTTCTATTTGTCCCCTATGCTACTTCCTCAAAATCTGAATCCCTTAAGATGACCTTAAGGATAGGAATGTCTTATCATCTCAGATTTTTTACTTTATGATTGAGGGTCTCAAGTGGTTTCTCTTCACAAGCGAGGTTAGAACATAAATTTAGCGGTTTATATTGTACTATGTAAGTTGGGTCTGAAATATATATGTTGCTATAAATGACAACTAAAACTAATAAAGTAATCTCAATCCAATCCCCTTCAATATTTCAAATGGCCAATTATATCACAATTTCAATTTACCTTTTATAAAATATCCATAAACTCCTTTAGTCAAAGACACCTTCAAAAGTATATGGTCCTCTTCCTTGAATATGCTTCTTTTTTAATTTAAGTGGTTTTTACGCCTACTTTGAGTCATCAAAGCCATTTGCGGAGTTGTTTGTCCTTTTTGGCTGTTTAGTTCGTAAGTTTGGAGTTCAACTTTATGCTTACAAACAAATTGAGCCAAAGTGAGTTATACTAAGCCAAGAAGAGGTATTTAACTAAGCTTCCTCTCAAATCCATTATAAATAATCCCAACAAGTCTTCTAGGATTTTCATGGTAGCATTCATTCATTCTAATAGTTTCTTTTCTTGCAAATGGTAAGACATGCTAGATCAAAATTTTATTCCAATGGTTTCTAGTAAACTACATGAAAATATAGCCGAAATGTTGCATCTCTATCCACTATAATGGTTAATGGAATTCCATGTAAGCTTATGACTTCTTGCAAATACATTTGAGTTAGTTTTTTTAATGGATCATGTATATAATTCAACTATAAACTATCATTTATACGACGCCGTGCACATTTTCCATTTTAGGTAATCCACAAAAAAAATCCATAGAGATGTCTCCCACTTTCATTTCAAAATTTCAAAAGGTTATATATACATTCCCGGTTCTTCTAGGTTTGACCTCAACTTCTTAACATTTAAAGCATCTATCAACAAAACCTGCTATTTCATGCTTTATTTTTGGTCACCAAAAGCTTCGCGTTATATTGTTGTTGCATTGGTTCCAACAAGATGTACATTGTGCCCATGGTATGATCTTCATTTAATATTTCAGTTCTAATCTCTTATTTTTCGGTATACACCATCCCTTGTGAGACATTAACAATATGTCATCATTCAACTTGATGCCAAATTTATCCCCTTTATCACCCTTCTCTGTCAGCTACCTTAACTCAGTGACTTCTGATTGGACACCTTCTATCCATTATGTTAATGTATGGTTGTGTAATTAAAAGATAAGTGCAGCTGTAATCTTAGCTACTCCATTTTCTCTATTATTTTATCTATATAATAAATAAAGCAAGCAACATATGCTACGCTTCTTAATTAGAGCATGTAGTTTCTTAATATTTATAAAAGTGTTTAGCAATGTTGTTGTTGCTTATAATTTTCACCACTATCATGGCATCATCATCAAATTCCATCTACTTAGAAGATATTTATAAACCATCAATTTCTATTTGGTCATGCTCACTGCTAAGTGTTCGAGCAAATCATTTTTTGACTCCCATAAATCACCTTAAGTCTACCTATTTTCCTCCATAATCATTCAACATTAATTTTGTCAACCCATGTAAGGGGTGCTTAACTGTACATATCTAAAAACCCTAATTTATTTTCAACTACCATATTTTAAACGAATGTCACTCCAAGTATTTCTTTAATGTAATCATTCATTCATTTGCCATTCCTAATCTTGCCATATACACACTTGAACAATCTATTTTTACCAGATTAAAGAGCATTTTTACAGTACCAATACTCAGATCTATACAAAACCTTCAAGTAAATATGGCAGAGCTAGAGGCATCCCAACATAATTTAGTTCTCCTTTCACCTGAGTGATTAAACTTAACCACACACACACCCTCGCACCCCCCCACCCCCCCAATCATATCTCCCAGCATTCAAGAAAAGACTAACAATCTTTATCTGGTTGGCTTCTCGCTAGATAAATGCTGAACATGAAAAGCTTGTACGCCCACTATATGTATACAGTGGGGAACCACTTAGTGGAACTCAAAAAGTTCATTGTTATATTTCAAATCTCAAGTATTAAGACTTATTATGTAATTTTGCATTCAGATTGCCTTAAAAATCTATCTAAATTTAAGAACTTAAATATTTATTACATTTTTTTTCATGAAGTCTTGCTATTATCTTCTTAAGAAAACCTGCAATAACGCTTTAATGAGAACTATTTATTCAAAGCATCGATAAACCCTGAAATCCACGGATATCCAGAGTGCGCTTTCAAAGTAGCAGAAGGGCATGCTCAATACTCCTACTCGTCTTACCTCGCAGAATTACACCCTTATCACTACAATGTTATTCTTGCTACTACTGCTATCATGAATCATAATGCAAATATTCACAATATATACTCATCTTGCATCACTTCTATATATTCCATTTTAAATAAACTGAAGTATCAGTTATCAGTTTCTCTTATTATGTGTAACACTTTCAAGCTTCATTTTAAATAAAGTAAGCCTAATAAAATATTGATAAATCTTCTAAAGAGCTACCAAAAGCCAAACTTCACATCAATTCAAGCCAAACTATCATAATAGTACCTAAGTCCATGCAATACACTCTCGCATAGGAAGATTTTCATGATATTATTTTAAGATGCAAGCCAACCAAGAACACTAATCCAACCAGATTCTTACTGGTTTCACCCAGATCCAATCGATTATCCTCCATCAGAGAAAGAGATTCCCAACTGAACTTGGTTAGATGCCCAATTTTAATATTTGATCTAAGGACAAGATTGGTGTCCTAATCTTGCCTACCACTTTTTACAGTAAGCATTATTTAATAACATTCCCAGTAAACACTACCATTTGTCTAATAAAACAATGCACCATTTAGCATAGCTAATTCAACTTCATCTTAACCAAATGACCTGTATAACTTTGAAATATTTTCTAAAAATTGGAATATAATAAACTAGCTTTCCTAGCCTTACAAATTGCTTCATTGAAGTTGTCCGAATCCAATCATCACCTTCTAGCATGTTTAAGCATGCCAACTTCACAAACTCAAGCACTAACGAAAAAAATTGTTACTTTCAACTATAGCATCAGTATCAACATTAACACCATCAAGCTTATTCCGACTATTTGGCTTAGCTATTCATGAATCCTAATCTTACATTCATTCCTACTGAGAATTGCATGAGAAAAACCTATTACAAGTTTTAGAACCTCTATTCATACTTATTCATAAAAAAAAAAGCAGCTTCTCATCTTATTTTCTTCTAAAAAATCCACACACAACAACAACAACAACAAGCCTTCATCCCATTAAGTGGGGTCGGCTACATGAATCTTTTTTCTCCATTGTATCCTATTAAGTATCATATTATCATTTAATTCTAAAAAACCCACACACCTAAAACTATAAGTGATGCAATTAAAATTGAAATACTGTTTTCTTTGCATTTCAAATATCCTACAAAATAAACTAAAAATTTTGCAAGCAAATGGAAAACTATTTCTAGCTTATTTACATTGAAATTAGAGAAAAAAAAAACAAACTTAGAAATTGCAATGATTTATCAGCATCAAATTTAATAATATGAAAGATAAAGCAAAGATGGCAGGAAGTGCTCACGGAATTTCAAACTTTAAAAGGTTTCTAAAAACACTATCATGGTTAATCAGACTACCAAACTTAATAAAAAAAATTTCTCTAGAGACCGTACTTTCTACACAGACAATCATCATAGAAAAAAAACACTAAAGACAATGTAAGAAGGCGTACCAAAAAAGAATGAAACTCGTTCTTCAAGTCATTGATGCCCCTCAAAATTTCAATCTTTTGCACATGATTCAGTTTATCAAGGAAATTCATTTCAGCTCCTTCTTCTTGCTGTAACTTCTCCTTCCTCTTCTGCTTTGCCATTTTTTCATATTCCTCAATGGTGTCATCCTTGTCAATCAAGTAATGTAGGTCTTTCTGAATGTAGAAATTAGTGCAAGTAAGACACCTACAAAGACGATCTCTCCATTTCTTTGACAGAAACATAGGCTTTTTTTCCGAGTCAAATGCTGCATTGAATATATCCAATCCAATAATGCATTTGAAATTTGAAGTTAAACTGTTGCAGATTGCTTTCACCTCCCCCCACCCATAATTTTCCATAGAGGTCTCTCCTTGTGGCTGAAGCTTATTATCTGAACTCTCTTCAATCTTGGAATCCATGTTTGAAATATTAATCTGGTGTTTATAACGTTCTGATGAGGTTTCTGCATGTGGTTGAACCTTCTTATCTAACATCTCAGTCGTGGAATTCATGTTTGAAATATTTGTCTGGTCTTTGGAAACATGGTTGCTATCATCAATGTTTTCAGAAACAGAAAAAGCAGAGGTCTTAGTTTCCAGGACTTTTTCTTTACCAGATAATACTGGTTCATTCTTCTGACTCTCTATAGCCCAAATGGATGGAGGATACAATTTCAGGAATGAACAAGTAAGAGCACAGTCTTGGCAGACGAAATCCTCATATAAAGGCTCCCCTTCCTCATCTCTTGGTATCTATGATATAGGTAAAGAGATTAAAATTATAAATAAAAGCTAGTATATAATGAAACGCTTAAAATACAAACAAATCAAAATAATCAAGGGCCATTAGATAAATAAAGTACATTTTAAAAAAAAATTAAGGATCGCCATAAGCTTTAGGTAACCTAAAAGGTGATGGGAAAAAGGAAAACAATCAATATGTAGCAGATTAGAAGCCTGGTAAGGAATTAGCAAGCAAATAAAAAATGGTTAAAAAACTAAGAAAATCAAATTAAATGCAATCACTGAATGGTAAAAAAGAAAGAAAATATTATTGGGAAAGATATTTTACAACGGGAGATTTCACATTAATTAAAATACCTCTTCTGGGGAAACAAGACCAAGGTGATTCTCATGAAACCAGTCTTCACAGATGCAGCATTGTATCATCTCAACCTGTTCATCAGTTTCTGGATCAGGGTAGGGGAGCCCACATATGCAATAGCGACCTTTAAAATTCTGATTATAAGCATTATCCACATTTTCAGGTTCCTTATTAGGGTAAAGTTTGCATGCAAAATCTGCAAATTTTGAATTCCCGCAGTCGCATCTAAACTTTCTCTTGGTCCATAGCTCCACAACCTGATAAAAACAGCAGATGGACTTAGCATGCTAGTCATGTGGCAAAGGTGTTGAATTGAACCTATTTTGGGAAGCATCAGAATACAAAATACAATCTGCAATAGCAATGGTGCAAAACAACTGCAAAAAGATTCCTTAATAGATTTCTCATGCAAAATAAATATGGGTCATTTACATACAGCGCACAATTCTTATGTATTTACATATCTCATACTTAAACTTTCATGTTTTCGCACATAGCACTCAGTTGTTTAATATCAGGTTAAAAATAGCACTATTACCACTTTTTAAAAGAAGAACGGCTTTTCATGCAAAGGTTTAAAGCACCAAAGTGAAATGTGTGTAAATATAAAAGTTAAGGTGTGAAATATGAAAATACATAAGAATTGTTGGCTAGATATAAATAAAGGCATCAATCCTATAAAAAGGGTATTTTTCTGTTTGTAATTACTATGCAAAAATCCTTCATGGCCTTTAAGAAAATATAATATTTCTAGATTGATTATTTCTTGATTTCACGTTTAAATGACTTTTCAAAAAACAGGAATTCTAGAAGCTTGCAAAACTATTTTGATATAAAAAAGTTGTTTTATTTTACACACAACACTTTCTTATTTATTTTCCCTCATAAAATGTAACTGGCATGAAGTTAAATAAGTAACTAAAATTTACACTTTCCATGCATAGATTGAAGATTTTAATATTACCAAAATGAAATTTTTAGCTGAAACCAACAACTTTCCCAGCAATTTTCTGAAGATTCATCAATTTAACTAGATAATTCCAACGACCAAGTTCCATTACAGACTGTTCTGCGATTGATTGTGCATTTTGAGTGAGCTATTCTTTCAACTAAAAAGAGCTTCCAAACGATACTAAGCACAATAAGTTGATGTTAATTTTAAGCTACATTGTTATGGGCACAAGCATACACATGGGCAATTTAACAGTTAAACTAATAGAAGCCTTGATCTTTGGGACAGCCCTGAACTGAACAAAAAAAAAAAAAAAATCATCCTCAAATTATTCCTTATGATTGTAAGTGATGCATCCCATATATGGCTAAGAGACACATTGAAGTTATTTGAAATATGGAATATTTTATAGTCAATTAATGATTCAAATATAAAGTTGACTATGCCACAAAATGTGGACTCTCTGTCTGCCATGCTACAAGATAAGCATAGATCACACAATAAGCAAACGTTTATGGAATTCTCAAATGCTTGCTTACTAAAGTAAAATTATATTCATTGCAGGACAGTTGTGGAAAGCATGTTAACCCTTTCACCCATAACAGTCAAATGCCAATGCTTATCCTCTGCCACGTCATCGCTGTTTCAGCCATTCTCCTTATAGAACAAAACCAAGTACTTCCACAAGCGAAAACATGAAGAAAAACAAAGTGAAAGGCAAAGGATTCCCTTCTCACCTCGTGCCCATCGTGGCAAGAAAGGCTACAAGCAGTGCAGATCCCAGCGTTTCCACTTGGAACGCATGTCAGGCAAGAGAAAATCGCTTGCCTCTTCATATAGCCATTATCATAGGTACACTCCTTCCCCTCGTCACCTCCCAGAACCAAATCCGCCTCCTAGGGTTTCCAACCAGGAAGTTATTCCGATTAAGCCCACCACAAACAAAACTAAAATCAGTAAAATTATCAAGAACTCCACAGCAAACACGAATACATAAAAACAAACGATTTCCACTCACCAGCTCCTCCGCCTCTATTCCCTCGATGTACTCCTCAATCGTCACCGTCGGCTCAATCTCGTCTTCGAACGCTTCCGCCATCTCGTACAATAAAAACTTTTCGCCGCAGTCCGGGGAAGTACGATCTGAGATTGATGAACCGGGGAAGAGAGAGCGAAACCCTAGCACCACGAAACCGCAACAGCAACTCAGAAAAAAAAACCCTAGATAAGAACAAATGGTGCGAGCTGAGATTGATGGGGATCCGGGGGCACAGATAGATTTGGTAATGGAGGAAGGAATTGAGGAGAATTGCGAAGCTGGAGATCCTATGAAGGGGAAGAGGATCTGGCTCGTGAGACTTGAGTTCGGTTCTGCTTAAAAAAGAGAGCTTTTGAGTCCGAATCTTTTCCCGCCACACCGAGCATTTTGAGCACGTGAGAAATGTTTGTACCTTGGTCGGGCTTAAAGGGGAAAAATATCAGTTTCATTTCGTTGCTTTGAGATATAAATCTTATTTTGTGTTAGTTATTTATTTTAGTTGTTTTTAATTTTAAAAATTAGGATTTGGATATATATTACTTAATTTTTATATATTTATATTTCTAAAACCAATATTTTAATTTTATATATCAATGTTATCTTATACATCGAAATGTGTATTTGAAATGATACTATTTTTTATGTGATAAAAAAATTTGAGTGTAAATACATAGGAATTTGTTGTATACATGTAAATGCTTATATATATATATTTCGTAAATTATTATTAATATCTAATTGTGTTCCATCAAATGATAAAATTTATGAGAGAACCAACATGTTTTACTCATTATATTGCTAAAAGAATAGATAAGCTAATATCTTATATTTCATTTCTTTGATAAGACATTCATAAAAGCACGAAAACATGTAAACTCAACGAATAAGGGAAAATTCTATAAATGAAATAGGATCACCAAAAACTTTAATATGACATAAAAAATTGCCTCCATGAAATTTTATGACAAGACACATAATTACATGAGAGTTTTTCATGTTTCATTTTTCTATATTAATATTGTTTATAGATGACATACTACAAGTCCATCCTACATTATGAATAAATACTTACTGTGAAATTACATTTTATTCAAATACCAAGTGTAACTAATTAAAATACATCATAATAGCATATTTGTATTCACTAAAGGTGTTGGATGGGCTCAATCGGCTATGTTGCATCATATAGAGCCAATTTTGGGCCCGGTTGATGGATTTGATCACACTGGTAAATTGAGTGAAAACTTATTTCAAGGGTTTAAACTCAACACGAGAGTTGTTCATCATCTGTATGACTTAAACTGAGCGAGAAAAGGTAAAAATTGTATTTCGTGCTGTAATTTGTCGATATTATCTATAACAAGTGATACTCACGAAAAACTCAATTAATTTTATCATATAATAAAAAAAAAGATTACAAATAATTACATTAATTATAATTTTTTTGTCATGATGTTTAAAATAAGAAATTAATCTAAGAGAGTAACACTCAAATTGAAGAATAACTTCAAATTAAATTAATGAGAATAATTTCACTACATTGATTATAGTGTTTGATGGCAAATAAATGCTTATGAGTACTTAGACATGAGTAACATGATAGTACTAAAATTTATTTGAGATGAATTTGGAAATGAAATATAAAATTATTAATCAGAGAGAGATAATTGAAGAGAGGTAATGCAAAAGACCTTAAAGATAAAATGATTTTAAAATACATTTAGTATTCTACTAAACCACATAATATCACTAATGTGATGAGTGGAATAATTAATTTTAGAGGATTAAGAAGGAAAGTGATAAATGAAAGTTGCAAAGATAAGTTAGAAAAAAAAAAAACATTTACATACATATTGCATAATTCTTATGCATATACATACCTAACACCTAAAGATTCATATTTATATGCATTTCACTCAAATGTTTTATATTACATAAAAAATATCGTCATTTTTATTATTTTTTAACGATGTCATTATTGAGTTCCAAGCCCTGGATGCAAAAAGTAGAGGTTTGTGTTGCATAGTCGACAACAAGTGTAAAATTTGTTTAAAAATTATGACATGGATTATATGAATCACTGTGTAAATGTTATGGCACCTCTAGAGCGGCGTATTGTATAACATAAATACAGCGAAAAGTGTGTAAGTGCAGCTACACCGATGCCCGGGTGTAGTGTCAAATAAGCAAGAGTTCTCACATTACATATGGATGCGAGTAAAGAAATTAGCTTGCGAAACTAATATTAGGATAAAATATTGGAATATAGGTACTCTCACAAGAAAATTGATGGAATTATTTTGATATTATGGTTTATATGGAAGATAAATAATTTATGTATTCAAGAAGTAAATGGGTTGAAGAAAATGCTCATAAGATTGATAGCTTAGGTTTTAAACTTTGGTATTCAAGTAGAAATGCTGTAAGTGTAATTATAGATAAGAGTTTTAAATATAATGTTGTACAAATTAATAGAATTAAAGATAGAGTTATATCTCTAAAAATTGTTATTGATACTAAGATTTTTAATGTTATATGTGTTCATGCTCCTTGAGAAGGTTTAGATAGGTTCAAAAAAAAATTTAAAATTACCTAACAGAATTAATACAACTCATACCTCTTGAAGAAATATGTTTTATTGAAGGAGATTTAAATAGGCATGTTGGTAGAGTGTGAAATATTTTAAAATATCTGTGATTGCTACGGTTTTAGAGTGATTAATGAAGATGGTTAAATAATATTAGATTTTGCTTTAGTGTATGATTTTGTTATTGCTAATATTTTATTCAAGAAATATGAACATATTATTACTTATAAGAATGAATCTAATAAAATAAAAAAAACAATTATTTTCTTATAAGGATAAAGAGATCTTCAAAAGCGTAAGGATGGTAAGGTAATCTTAAGTGAAAATTTAAGCACTCAATTTCGATTATTAGTTATGAATTTTAAGATAAAGAGTTGTAAGATAAAAAAATACAAGAAAATATTATCATGGAATTAAATGGGGGCACCTAAAAGATACAAATAATTTTTTTTTTTAGTAAATTTTAAGATTTCAATATTTGTGATGTTCATGAAAAAGTAAATTTTATGTGGGTTAAAATAACAAGCACTATTAAACAAGTGACAAAAGATGTATTTGAATAATCAAAAGGAAAGGTTTTATAAAGAAAAAATAATTGATGGAATAATAACATGTAAGAAAATAAAAATATAAGAAGTTGTGTTTAAAATCTAATTTAAATGTAAAGCTTAGAGAACTGCGAAAAATATAAGGTGGCAATTGTGAGTCTAAGAGAACAATTGTGATGCTAAAAATTCTGTTATTAGTGATCTCTAGAATATATTAAATAATAAAAAGGGCAAAAATGTATGTATAAACTAGCTAAGAAAGAGAAAATAAAGTAAATATTTAATTCAAGTAAAGTTTATTAAAGATGAAATTCAAAAAATAATTTTTTTATAAGAAGGTATTTACCATAGGTGGGTGAGTTATTTTGATAAACTTTTTAATCAAGTTTTTGAAAATACTATCGGCCTTAGTGATATTAATATAGCTAATAATAATAAAATATTTTATACTAATCATTGCATTAGTAAAAAAAAAAGTTGAAGATGCTTTAAAGAAAACCCATGGTGGAAAATTAGTATGACCTGATGATATCCCAATTGAAGTGTAAAAATATTCAGGAGATTTAGGAGTTCCCTAACTTACTAAACTCTTTAATATTATTTTAAAAGCTAAAAAGATTTTTCTAGAGTGGAGTAAGAGTATTATGGTCCTAATTTTTAAGAATAAAGGAGATGTAAAAGAGTATGCAAATTATAGAGAAATTAAGTTCATGTGTCATGTTTTAAAATTATGGGAGAGGGTAATTGAACATAGGTTTGGACGTGATACTAAAATTTCTCCCAATTAGTTTGGATTTATTTCGAGCAGGTATACTATGGAAGCTATACATTTATTGAGAGAGTTGATAGAGAAATTCAGAGAGAATAATGAGGATCTACATATGATTTTTATTGATTTAGAAAAAAACTTACGATAAGGTTCCAAGAAATTCATTTTGAGAGTTCTAGAGAAGAAAGAAATTGATATAACTTTTATTCAATCATTAAAGAGATGTACACCAACATTGTTACTTGTGCTCGCACAGACGAAGGATTAACCAGGTATTTTTTTCTTTTAAGTTGGATTACATTAGGGATCAGCTTTATCCCAATATTCTTTTGGCTTTAGTTATGAATGTTCTTACTATACATTTATAGGAGGATGTACCTTGGTGTATGCTTTTCGGTGATGATATCCTTCTCATGGATAAGACTAGAAAAGTTGTGCAAGAAAACCCTAAATTATGAAGGTCTACATTGGAGTCTATAAGTTTTAATGTGAGTAGATCGAAAGTTGAATTCATGGAATGCAATTTTATTAGCAACAACTCTAGCTGCAGAGTTGTAACTATGGGTGATCAAAACATTAAAATGTGTGATTGTTTTAAGTATCTTGAGTCTATTGTTCAAAGTTATGGTGATATAGATGGGTATGTTATTAGTAGAATTTAAGTTGGTAGTTTGAAGTGGAGGGATGCATTAGGCCTATTATGTGATAGAAAATTACTGCTTAGACTGAAATAAAATTTTTATAAGATGATGGTATGACCTTCAATGCTCTATGGTAACATAATGTTGGACTTTAAAAGAAAATCATAAAACAAAGTTAAGTGTTGATGATATAAGAATGCTTAGATGGATGAGTGATTTAATACTTAGAGACAAAATGCAAAATGAACATATTCATGATAGAGTTGGTGTAGCTCCACTGATGGAGATGACTAGGGAGAGTTATCTTAGATGATTTGGTCATATTAAACGTCTGCCACCTGATGATCCTGCTAGAAGAATAAATATTTTTTATTCTACTTATGTTAATAAAGACAAAGATAAACCTAAACAGGCTTGGACATATTGCACAAAAAATGATATTAATTTGTTAGAATTAAATTAAGATATGACCCTCAAATTTCAACAAAGACTTAATGAAGAAAAATGATTCATATAGCGGACCCCACTTAGTGGGATAAAGACTTTTTGTTGGTGTATTATTTATTAAAAATAAAATACACATTATATATATAGGGTTATGACACAAAGATGTTATATGTGTAAATATCAAACTTTGGGTGTTAGATATAAAAAAAATAACAATAATGTGGTAAATGCGTAATTTTTTTGAATAAAAGAATTACAAAATAATAATAAAAAAATAACATGACACTCAACAATTAGTTTTGTTAAACATGATTATAACTCCCTGAAATACATATTTTCGATAATCTTGAAAAAAGCCCTATAGACCTGAAAGTGTTCTTAAAAAAAGGGGTTTTATACATCAGCTAAGAAAATATTGAATATAAGGTATTAAACGCCTAAACTTTAAATATAAGATTTTAATCACCTAAAACATTCAGTCAAAGTCTTCACTGATGGACAAAAGATGGTGGTTGAAATGAAAATGTGGTTAAAAAAAAAATTTATTTTCACATTTAATTATTTTGCGTGTGCAAATTAGAAACTATTTGGAGCTATTTGGTTGCAATTATGATTTAACAAATCCTGTAAATTTAGATTTATCAAATTCGGAGGTGGGTAAATCCTTAAAACTCTTTGATATGTTAGTAAGTAAATCTTGATAAATACTGATAAACTGTTTCACAGCTTTAGAATGATTTTACCAAGATTTATAAAGATTTATTGAACATCCAAAAATAAATATTAAATAAAAAAATATAAATGAATACCCAAAGCCTCAAAATGTATAAAAAATGGCGTTTACATTTTTTAATAATTTTTAAATAAATTAATAATTTTTTAAAACTAATTACTTATTAATCAACAAATTTAAATTAATTAGTTATTAATTATATAAATTAAAAATTATTTTGAAATTTATTGAATAATTTAATTTAAAACAAATTTTATTTATTAATTAACTATTAAGTAATTACATATAAATTTATCTAATTATAATTAATTTGATAATATATAATATATCTATTAATTATTAATCAATTAAAATAATTAAATTAAATTAAATTAAAATAAATTAAGACCAAAAGCCTAGCTCCCTATTTTCCTATCCCCCTCTCCCGGTTTCGCCCAAACTTCCCATCTCTGCCCAAAACCATCATCTTAGTGAAGGAACCTTCACAATACAATCACCATTAAACCCAGCTAAGAAGGCAGCAATAGGATCGCGACTAATAAAGACCAAAAAACTCCCATCTTTTCTATCACTTTTCCGTGCTCTTGCCTTAAACCAATGAGGATGATAAGCCTGTTCGCGCCATTATTCCTCGTGGTTAATCTTAGAGTTGCTCTAAATTGAAAAGATGAAATACGGGGTGTAGAAGATAGAACCTGAAGAAATTATATTTAACAGACGGTTGGATTTAAATTTTATTATTTTTTAATATTTGACTGAACTTCTTATGCCTAAATCCAATTAATAAAGAATAGGCTGATTTACTGAGGATTCACCGGGGCAAAAAGCTCCATTTTTTGGCGTTTGGCAGGATCTATAGCTCAAACCCTACATAAATCCAGACATTCCCCAACTCTGGAAGCCATCAAGGAAAAAAAAGAAATGGCCAACAAGTTTCTTCGCCTAGTTCCGCTGCTTCGAGAAACCAGTCTAGGGGTTCCCAGAACTCCTACCCTTTCGATCACTGTGTTGAAGAGGGCTTTCAGCTCCACCAGCCGTCCGGATTCCAAGGCAGAAATTGCAAACGAACATTCCTCTCTTCCTCCCGACCAGCCGAACAAGGACAGAAGAACATTGATTGATAGGACGAGCCCAGCAAAAGAAGAAGAAGAAGAAGAAGAAGAAGATGAAGAAGAAGAAGAAGAAGAAGAAGACGAAGAAGATAGCGTGTATGTGAACAAGGAGACCGGAGAAATCAGCGGCCCAAAAGGACCTGAACCAACACGTTACGGGGATTGGGAGCGCAACGGTCGGTGTTCAGACTTTTGATTGATCTATAAATCAAAGGTTGTATTATCTGTCAATTTGGTTTTATTGATTTGCACTGCCTTTTCTTTTACTTATCAAGATGTTGGGAGTAATCTCTGCTAAGTTTATTTGAAAAGTGGTTAAAAAATCCTATTTTCGTAGACAGAATGGATGAGAGCATATAAATGAAAATCTGTATTCTTTTGGAAGATGGTTAGATGCAAAAAATGAAGCAGCTTTTGTGATATGTGTAGAAAAACAGTTTTATAAGAGTTGTTGCAGATAAAAGGGCGATTCAAGGAGCCTGTTTGAAGTTACAGTTGGCTAAGTTATACTTGGAATTATATTAGATTAATCATTGGAATCAAATTCTTATGTGTTTGCATATCTAATACCTAAACTTTACCTTTGTACATTCATACCACCAAAATCTTCCAAGTCACATAAAAAATACCCCTATTTTAACTCTTAAAAAGCGAAATAAACCTTTTTATGCATAGGTCAGGAGGCATACATGTAAAAATTGAAGTTTAGGTGTTAGATATGTAAACAAAAGAATTGTGTGGTATCTATGCTAATCATCCAATTCTCAAATAAATGAAACTTGTAAGTATGTTTTAACTTGACATTTGGGCCATTTTTTTCTTACTTGTAGCCAAATTTAGTGTGTTTTTAGTATTGATGATTTATGAGGTTGGGCATAGAAATCAGCTTCTAGTTTTAGTTATTAATGAGTTTTCTGGCTTACATATTCCAAAGATGGTGGTTGATTTTTTTGAAACAACTGGGCAGAAGATCTTATTTGTAGTTACGAAAACCTATATTTGGTTTTTTTAACATTTTTAACATTACTGTTGTCTGGATTATTTGGGTTAGGGATTATCAGTTATCATTTTTAAATTGTTTTTGCAGAATGCCATCCAAGGTGTTATATTTATTATTTGCAACATTAGGTTTTTTCTTGTTTTCTTTTTGATTATTTTACGCTTATCTCAATCATGGTTGCTTGGCTCTATGAATCCTTTCTTTCCATTATGTACTACACGGTTTTGCATGCGGTATTAATTACTATCCTTGAATAGAAATATTTGAAGGATTAATTAATCTCCACTTAATATTGTTCCCAACTTCTACAAAGCTACTATTTTTACTTCATTCCAAGGGTTTAATGTTAGGGACAATATAAATTGTCTGATATATATGTAAATGCCAAAGCAATTAAGTTCAATCAATTGCAAATATTGCATTTGAGATTATTAATCTTATATTTGTATAATTTGTTATTATGCTGATGAGCATTCAAGTAGGAACTTGTATATAAGCGTGGAAAATGTAGTTAATAAAATTAATGATGTTGATAATGCTCATGAATTTGACAAGGAAATTAATAATTCTGATAAATTTTGGAATGTCATGCATTGCATCATAACTTCTTCTAAGGTTGGCCTAATTGGAAGATACATAATTTTTCAAATTTATGCCAAACTTTACGAACTCATAATTGATAGCGTGTTTGATAAATTATGTTTGTGCCTTAGAGTGCATTAATTTGAGACGTAAATCACAACATACCTTTGCTACAACAACTATGTAGTACCAATATTTCTAAAAAAGTGTCTTACCCGTGTCAGACACGTATTGAACACCGTCACTTGTCCGACGCGCTTCGACACTCTTCGATACTACAAAATCGGGACACACCTCAACATCACATCATAATTTCGAGAAAATACAACAAGGGAATTAAAAAATTATAAGTATATGTATAGCTTTAACTGCACCTCATAGTTGAAACTTCTTCATCTCTCGTCATGTTGAAGCTCCCTCTAATATTCGCCGAAATTGGGCATCGAAGATGCTATCAATATTCGTAAAAGTCGAGCATTAGCGATTCCCTCTTTATAATTATAGGATTATTTAAATTTTAGTAGATGAGTTGGATGAATTATTTTGAAATATATTATATCTGATTTTAAAAGTTAATTTTCATAAGCATGAGATTTTATAATATAAATTAAATTTATGAAGTTAAATTTTATTATTACACAATTTGTGTTTGTGATATTTTTAATAAGAATAATGAAAAAATATTTATTTTATATTAATAATTAATTAAGTATAAAAACGTGTCCATGACGTGCCATGTTTTATTTCTTTCTATTTTGTAATGTCCTTGTATTGTCTCATGTCGTGTCCGTGCTTCATAGTACAACAACAACAAGAATAAGAATAACAACCAACCTTTATCCCATTAAGTGGGGTCGACTACATGAATCCTTTTACTCCATTGTGTCCTATTGAGTGTCATATTTTCATTAATTCTAATAAATTAAGATAATTTTTTTAAACAACATGACAAAGTCTTTTTAGGTCTACATCTACCTTTCTTAACATAAGTCGAATCGAAAGCATCTACTTCTAATCGGATCGTGAGATGGTCGACGTTTAAAGGTGACCAAACCATCTGAGACGACTCTGTCTAATCTTGTTTGCCGCTGGAGCTACACCAACCCTTTCACAATTACATTCGTTTCACATTTTCTCCAAGTGTCAAGCCACTCATCCACTTAAGTATTCTCATCTCAACAACACTTAACTTAGTCTTATGATTATTTTTTAAAGAACAACATTATGCACCATAAAGTATTGCAGGTCTCACCACCATTTTATAAAATTTTCTTTCAAGTCTAAGTGGTACTTTTCTACCATACAATAGGCCTGACGTATCCCTCCACTTCAACCATCCAACTTGAATTCTACTAATAGCATCTCTATCTATATCATAATCACTTTGAACAATAGACCCTCGGGATATCTCAAACGTGCACACCTTTAAATGATTTGACCACCCCATTGGTACAACTCTGCTACTAGAGCTACTATTACTAAAATTACATTCCATATATTCAGTTTTGGATATACTAAAACAATGGGCCTTTAGACTCTATTGTGGCCCTGCATGATTCAAGTTTTTCCTAAACTCTTTCTATAGTCAAATTCACAAGAAAGATATCATCAACGAAAACATACACTTAGGTACATCAACCTCTAAATGTCCAGTGAGAACATCCATAACTAAATACCTTTCATTCACTCTTTCCTCCACTCTCAACCATCTTTTTAGTTTTTAAAATAATATTAAAAAGTTTAGTAAGCCATTAAACTCCTAAATCTCCTAAATATTTCCACACTTCTATTGAGATATCATCAGGTCGGACAAATTTTCCACCCTTTTTTATAGCCACATCAATTTCCTTTTTACTAATGCGATGGTAAAAATAAAATGTATTATTATTATTAACGATATTAAGATCACTAAAGTCGACTGTATTTTCGAAAACTCAATTGAAAAGATTATCAAAATATCTCACCCACCTATGTTGAATATCATTTTCTAAGAAAAATACTTCTTGATTTTCATCTTTAATACATTTTACTTTAATTAAATCTTTATTTTTCTCTTTTGTTTCTTTCTCTAGTTTATACATATTTCTTTTAGTTTCTCTGGTATTCAATCTATTATAAAGATCGCTAAAAGCATAATTCTTTTTGGTATGGATTTTGTTTTAGTTTATGAAAAACATTGAGAAAAAAGGCTTTTAATTTTATAGCGGTGTTTTGCTTTTCAAAAATCACTTATGTTAAGAAGGTAGAGGTAGATCTAAAAAGATTTGGGCATGTTGTATAAAAAATTATGATATTTTATTTGATTTAAATGAAAATATGGCACTCAATAGGACACAATGAAGAAGAAGGATTCATGTAACCGACCCCACTTAGTGGGATAAAGGCTTGTTATTGTTGGTTTGCTTTTAAAAAACGACTCGTTCTTACCATATCATAAATCTGTAGATGCATTGCACATTCCTAAATTGTAGTTCAATGAAGTGGTTAAATTATATGGCTTACCTAAAATAATTATTTTGAGTTGGAATTTAAAATTCATTTGTTATTTCTAGAGAACTTATTCTGAAAAAAAAAAAATAAGATACCTAAAATGTAAATTTTTAATTGCTTATGATCCATAAATCGATTAAAAATTGCGGTGATAAATAAATAACGTCCGAAATCTATTACATTGTTTGATCAAGTCTGTATTGATATTTTCTATAACTTAGTTAACATATAATTAATCTGTCAATTGGTCTAGTTGTATGGATTTGTTTGAGATTTTTATAGGCTTTAATCTAGATAGCTTATAGATCTTGTCGACCATTCTATAAAATCTAAGTCTAGTGCATTTGTGTAATTATTTGCTTTGCATCATGATTTAAATGAGGAAATCCACAAAAATCTACCTAGTATGATAATTACAAGTTTTTGGTTGATGTGAATTTAAAACTTAGGTGATGAAATTATGGAGAGTTTAAATTTAGAAAGGTTTCTGTCAAGAACTTTTAAGAAATTAAATGTAAGAAAGGCATGACATTTGACAAATCTCATAACACATTTGGCCTAACAATTTCAAATAAGAAATTCTAGGATATTCTAGCAATAATATAATTTTTATTTTGTCTGATTTGACTTCCTTTTGTGAGTTCGAACCATGGCTTTAATTTTGTTTAGCTGGTGTTAAATGTAAGAGTAAATTGTTATGGTTTTCAAGGGAATGAGTACGAGTTTCTTTCTATTATGAGCTTGCACCTGAATTTTAGGCTTTTAGGTTGATGGGTTTCATGCTTGTTGGACTCTTGGGTATTCTATTGTGGAGTGGCATTGGTGGACTGTAGGGCTTGTAATTTTGAAATTAGTTGTAATTTTGCATTTGTCTCTTCGTATTGAGAAAAATAAGCTGTTGAATTTTTTGATATGTGAATCCTACATTTTGTTGTGTCATTTACATTCATTTCATTATTCTAGCTAGGTTGAGTTTTGTAGAAAATCTCTTTTATTCTCGTCCTACATCACTCACATTGACCCATTTTTGTTGTATCGGTTATGTTGCCTTCAGTATGATATAGTTTTCAAATAATGGAAATCAGATCTCTGCAGCTGTAGGAATCAAGATTGCATACATTAAATCGTTTCTTATATGCAATATTTAGTATTATTTTCACATGTCTGCACTATAATGTCTTCTCCTTTTTTTTGTGATGATCTACATTTTGGCATTAAAGAGCAATCATTTTTGGTTAACATTTTAAAGTATTCATACATCATATTGCCAAATTCATCAGCCCAACCTCAAGTGAAAAGTAACATATTTTTACTATATTATAGTCTATTTTTTCGAGTAAAATGTCAAATTATTAAAAATAACTCTTACTATTAACACGGCGTAACTTCAG